ATTTAATGATACTTTTATATCGATAAATATTACGTTATATTTTTATAAAGCGGTGTGCAACACACAATCTCACGTTAACATGTAACGATATGATAATAATTAATATACGTTATAATAAAAAAATAATTTTTAATATAGTTGACGAAAAAAATCGTATTTAAAGCGGAACCATCGGTGTTAATTGATCTCATCAAGGTATAATGACCGCCGATTCTTCCCTAACGCTTTTTCCCAGTTCCATTGACCGACCTCGCTTCTTGCTTCCCGGGGACCGCTCGTAATAACCGTCTAATTTAATAACTCTAACCGAGAAACCGCGTGCACCCACGTTCGCGTTTGCTCGCGGAAAATTTCATTCCGATTTGCGTGATAGGTAGTAGAGGAATGCCGCATATGAGGAATTGAAGGCCTCCCACTGCTTTCACCCGCCCCCGCGGGTCCTGATGCAGCGCTGTTCTCCTTTGCCACCGCCGTGGAATCTGAAGCTAAATTAACCACTACCTTAGACGAAACAATTTCACGTAGCTACTTTCCGCCGTAAATTGACTTGCACGTACAACGCGTATGTAATAGAGCCGAGCGAGGCCTGAGATGCGAGGGTTCAGGGCCGCGTGTATCATATAGTGTAGTTCGTTGAAAAAAGAATAGGCCGCTATAATTGTGTGTTGCACACCGCTTTATAAAAATATAATTTTATATCGCGACAAAATCTTAAAATTTTAAAGAAATCATTCAAATTCAATTTTAATAAATATTTCCTACCTAAAGATTGTATACTCGAAAATGAATTATCCTGTACAATCGACGACAAATTTAAAAATTTCGAAAAATCTTCTTTAAAATTTTACGCGAAGAAAATTTCTATAAAATTAAAGAATGAGAAAATCCCTCCATGTATTAAGACTCTAGAAATTTCATTCTTGAATGAGTTAAGAATCTTTACAGTATCTACTATTTGTATCATCAAAGGTATCGTTAAACTTTCTACAAAAGAAAATTGATTTTGATCTCAAGTAATTTCATTATCAAGCTGACGCAATAAGAACTTGAGCACTATACAGCGATATGTATATCAATTAAAAGCTCTTTTTGTCACATATACAAAAATTACATAAAGTTAACACTGATTATTGATGTTGGATTTTTTATATAGAAAAATTTTATAGGCCTTTCTTGCAATCCTTTAAACACGCGGCCCTGCGCGACGAACGTATTCCCCTTCGTTCAGCCAATCGCACCACGGCAGATTACTCGATCTTTTATGCCTCAATTATCATACCAAGCCGTTATTAAACTCGCGCCGAGCGTACCTACTGTTCCTTGTTGTGTTCCTTCCGCTTCCAACAACATTCGGCAGCGGCCGCATCCATGTGTATGCGGGAGGAAAACTGGACACGAATGTTTTTCGCGCGCGAATTATCAATACAATCGATTTAAAAATTTAAGAAATCTAAATAATTGCACAAATATCAGGATGATAATAAATAAATATACAAGCGCACTTAACTTTCCCGACATTTTTTTTTTTTTTTAATTTATAATCGATAATATGTCACAAATTCTTCGCGAGAACATTAACGTCGCAAGCTAGGAGATTGTTTTTAGTTTTAGTCGATGCGGAAAAAAAATCCTTATCGAGGATCGATGTTACACGCGAGAAATAGGAAAAAGGCTCTCATGAGGGCTGAGAGCTTTTTTTCTGGTCGATCGATTAGAATATTGTTCATTTGCTCCCTTTGTCTTCATGCGACACTCCTTTCTCTGTTATTTATAGAACGAGCTTTGCTACCTGTCTGAGTTTGCGCGCGCATAATAAAGGAACAAAAAGCGAATGAAAAAAATGATGAGATGGTTTATCATAGGCAGACTTGAGGCTGACATCGATTAGCTACGAAATAAAAGAGTAATGCTTCATGCTATTGCTGTTTCAGATTTCTAAAATCGATATTATAAATCTTTGAGAACAAAGTCTCGCTTAAAAAATATTTGATTCATTTTTTATTCAGTCTTTCCCATAAGATTATTTTAATAATACAGCGTATTGTATATGAATACATGAATATGAAATGTATACGAAATATATATAAAAATGATTTTATATATTTCGATATAAAAAAATATTAAATGATATATATATAATATTAATATATGCGTGAAAAATAATGATAAATTTTTGAAACCTCGCATTATATATTGTGAACAGCTTTGAAAAAATTATGTAAAACAAGAGGGGAAAACTTTTACTTTACCAGCAAATTACCGTATGAAATTGCTATCGAGACTGAAGCAAAGTATCATCATTTACGCCGCGTTAAATAGCATGTATTCTGCGTGCGTGAACTTGTCGCGGACTATAAAATTTCAAAGAGTGCACAAAGATGCGCCAGGAATGTAGCTGAGTATCGTTACGATCGATTGACCGTATAAAAGGCTCTCCCCATTCTCTTCAATGAACTCATCTATTGACCTAGTTTCCCTTTTCACGAGAAAAAAGTTAAATCAGAAGGGAACAATTAGCCGAGATATTTGCAACATGTCGCGATGAAATATTTATCTATCTTAAGATTTGCTTAGATATGTAGAAAATATACGCATAAATATACATGATATATAAACTTAGAAATATTTATTTTATATTTGTCCTAGTGTTATATTATATTCCCATATGGTATAATTATAAATAAACGCATCGTTATCACTTATATCAGTTCTTTTGTGCGAATATTTTTTCCAGGTTTTTGTCGCAAATCTTTACCACACTCACACGCGCACGCACACGTGTTCGTGATTGAACGATAGCCCCTTCGTTGCTTTTTTTTTGCTCCCCTTCTTCACCTGTCCAATCTTTTTCCTCGAGATAGAAAAATCGAGATCGTTACCGCGGCGTATCGGGAACGAATTGATCTCGGCTCCTTTTTTTGCATCTTAGGTTGGCCACTTAACCCTTTCCTCCAAAGAAGAATTGACGCGTTTGAGAATTTCGGGACACAGAAGAGCTTATCATACATGGAGAATATAAAGTGGCGAAGATTCGCTCAGGTATCTTCCAAGATCTTCGACCGATAGAAAAACGAAGCTAATATAATATAGATAATATCTACTTTTACTTAGAATTATAAGTCTGTTAATTATTTCTTAATTAATTGAATTGCTAATATTAGTTATTTTGATCTTTACTAGAATCTAATTAGAATTAAAACAAAATATAAAAATACAAAATTAAGTTGATTTCATTGACGAAAATATGTATAAGTATAAAATTCATATTTAATATTAATGAGAAATTCCCTGTGACTACTTGGAAGATACCTCTTTTTATTCTCAAACGCAATCAATGCCAATTAATACTTATTTCACGTGATCAATCATAATATTTTCAATATTTTCTATCTTTATCTCAATATTAATTTGGCAAGTGTAATTTTTGCAATGAATAATTTTTAAACTATCCACGCTAATTATGCGCATTATGCTCGATATCATGACAAACATTATCAATATATTTGTTGTATTGAATAAGTCAGAAAATGCATTATTTAAGTGATCATGTTGTCGTGACAATCTCTTATATTTTGTTAATTAGCTATTATTTTTAATTATTGTAAAATTTTTTGCCTATCATTCTGCAGCTTGAAAGAAAATAAAATATACATGCTTTATATGTAAAATAATTTTTTAGATAAATTATATATGTAAATATGTTGAATTTTTACAACTCAAAGTATTGTGAAAAAAATTAGAAGCAATAAAATTTATTTATAATACCTGTAATAACTTAATCATTTATAAATTTTACGTTTTTACGCTTTTAATTATCATTTTTAAATTATCTTAAATTATTTTAAATTTTCAATAATCTTACAGATATTTACAAATTTAGTATTACAGATTTACTGCAGATGCCTTGATATTGATAATGGCTGAGTTTATTTTTATATTCATTACAGGATTACGTTAGAAATGATAGAAAATAATTGTCGCATATAAATTAAAATGTGAGAATAATTTCTCTCTGAAAAATGAAAATTAATCTCTCTTCATTTTATTTATGATCACGTTTTAAAATTACCATGAAAAATTCTCAAAAAATTTTTAGTTATATAGGAATAATCCATAAAAAATAAACTGAAAATTGTTCATTGTATATTTATCTTTTTTTATCTGAACGTTCGTAAAAGTTATTGAATGGAAATTGTCGCTTTTAATATAAATGAAGGTTTAGTGTACTCTCTGAAAGAGACTTAAACAACGTGAGTTGGCATCGAAATGCAAATAATCGCGACACATCAGCCTGAATTCGATACGACATCGTTATGAGTGCCAATGTGATTGCAAATATTCATGTCTATATCAAAATGATTTTCGCGTGCGGATAGCTCGCGCACAAAACTCGCGGTTTCCGCCTGTTCGACATATTTCGGAATTACAGCATCAAGGGCTGATGTGGTAGGATGGCAGTGTTGTAATTCGATTATAGATTCCATTGACGTCGAGTGTTATTAACGTTGTTATGCAAGCAATATGGTCGCATTACGGGCGATTCGTGATACCGAGTGGAATTATTAAATAGCCAGCCCATTGCTCCGTTCCCTACCGTGTAAGTGTTTTATTTCTTCAATTGTTTCCGTTAACAGTAATTTTGCGGAGAACAACAGGTTACACCAGCATGCATAATTTAAGTATCAAACAAAAGGGGACTACAAATTAATTAATAATTACTCGGGAATGAACATTTTCGTGTAGAGATATTTTAATTCATATTCCATTATTGATATCGATAATTGTGCTCGATTTGTAATCGACTTTTTATTCAAATAAAATATAATTGGAATGAATCGACGCTACAAATAATTGCACAAAGTACACGAAATCATCGCGAAATGTATACGCGATAATGTAAAATGGATCATTATTGCGGAGATAAAAATAAACAAATGTTTCACAGATAATAAATAAATTATAACTTGTGTTGTAAGATGTAAAATCTAATTTGCACTCACCTTATGGTTGCTTTGACGATGCCACATCGAGCCTTCTCCTCGTCCTTCTCCTCCTCCTCTCTTGTTCATCCTTTCTTCCTTCACTCACGAAAGCACAAAACTACGATCACACACGCACTAAATCAATAGAATAAGACGATCACACGACGCTTTACAAGGCACTTTCGATATTAATCTCGATGTATACTTCACACGTTACCACTGAAACAATAAGAGAAATATGTTAGTTATTATATATTATTTATATTATGATTTATTAGATTAAGTCAGGTTAGAATTGACGCAGCCAATAACTAACATAATATCCGCTCTAGTTTCAAAACAATTACTGTATTACACTAAAATGTAACAGAAGACTGAATATATAAGTTACAATTAAAGATAAAAATCCGGATAATGCAAAATATCTTTGCTTCATGCGCGTTAGATTTCGATGAAAATGAAATCGAGTTAGGTTAAATCAAGTAAAATGCTTTATGATATTACATCAAAATAAGCGCGATTCGAGTTGATGCCCATTTAAGACGATGTATCCTTTAAAAACATATACAATAAATGTTCGATATAAATCGCGTGCCTTATAAAATAGTTGCCTTGAGATGCTCGTGAATCGCCGCGAAGGTTGATAAATGGATAAGGTAGGTAAAACTAACAACGAGACTCGCGTAATTGTTCGGCCGCGTTTGATACCTTCTAGTATTTATCTCGTACTGATCGTATTTCGAAAGATAATACGACACGTCTCCCTCTCCTCCAGCCCTTCCGCTCTTTCTTTCGCGCGCGTGACGCACTAACTTTCCCGGAATTTCCCGCACGAGTGACAAGGTCGCGGCGTATGACGTCACAACATTGGTATGCGCCGTGAAAAAAACAGCAACGTCGCGCGGCGTAACACAACGCCCCCTCTCTCGCCCGCCACGAAATATTTTATACCCTGCGAAGTGAATTTATATTCTAGGGATATACTGTGTTCTTAAACTTGACATCACACACAATTATTAAGTTGATGTATCGCGACTTTTCATTACCGAAGTTTTCGATCTGTGTATTCTTCTTTCGTGTAGTATCTCTTTCGTTTCTTTCTCACGTTCTTTCGATACGAGTGATTTTATTTTATCGTAATCTTCATGGCTAATAACTACTTCCGTATAAATATTATATAAGTATAAATATTATATAATATATAGTATATAATATATAGTATAAATATTATATTATATATTTCGTATAAATATAAACTTGTGGAATCCAATAATATATTTCAGCTTGTACTTTGCACGCGATTTATATCGAACATTTATTGTATATATTTTTAAAGGATACATCGTCTTAAATGGGCATCAATTCGTTTTCGTCGATTTAATATACTTTCCTTTTTTAGATTGAGACAGCGAGAGAGAGAGAGAGAGGGAGGGAAGAGAGGGAGAGAGAGCGAGGGAGAGAGAGAGGGAGAGAAAGAGTTCAGTAATACACAAATCGTAGAATCGAAACATTTCATTTCTAAAAAGGGCTTATGATATGTCAAGCTTATTGAGAATTAATAGAAAGTTTAATAGAAAACAAAGAATGTTTCGTGTAAATTTATTTTCTAATATATAAAATATCTTGCGACGACGGAGCCAGTTGTATCGTTATTTGATATTTATTTTGCGCGCGTGTTTATGTGACGTCATTCGGGCGACGAGACTCAAGCAGAAGGTTAGTACAGTGGCTGAGTGAAGTGCGTCGCTGCTCGCATTACTTCTTGAATTACGGTCACGATAAGTACTCGAAGACGTTGAACGCGATCGTTTCTCACGAATAATTAGAGATTCTCAATCCAAACGATTGATTAACTTTCACGATTGACGAAGTATATTGAGACGTCGGTTCGATTTATCGGAGCAGGTATTTTCTCACAATTTGTACCCGAATTTCAGTTATGTATTTTTTAATGGCGCAGTCTCGAATGATCTCAATAACGGAAAGTCGTGATATTGCTTAGTAATAATTGATATAAGATATAAAGTTCAGAAATATATAATATATATCGTATAAATTTACTTTGTAATGTATAAAATAATGATGGGCAAGGCAGGGGGAGGAGAGGGGCAATATATTGTGTTCTTTTTTTAAATAATTATTTATTTGGATCGTTTGCTGTTGCACGGTATCAAAGTACAATCTAATCATTAACAACAACATACAATAAAAATTGATTTTGAATCACGAGCGTCATTTTAATACTTAATTAGCAAGTAAAATCACACACTAGTAAAAGTTAACAAAAACATATACCTTGTTCATTCTTCATATATAATTGTAAAAGGCAAAATTTTGAATAATTTATATTTTGAAGTGACAGTCTCTTTTTGTAGTAAATTGCTTGGAATTTTACCCTTCACAATTTTCATTGGATTGGTGAAATATAAATTTTTGTCAACTTTTATCGTCATATTTAATTACAAATTATAATATTTATCGATTGCGTAGAACATAATTGACATTTGTACATTAATAATTTGTTACAATATGTATATTACATGATTTATTTGATGAGAATCTCTATTGCGGGAATATTTTCGATTATTTTCGATTATTATTATATTATATAGATATTTACATATATCTTTGATTTTTTAATTTACATATTTATTCACACACATACTTACGCTTTAATATAATATAATAATTGCCCTAAAACGCGTGTATTAATTATTTAAAATTATTCTTAAATTATTTTAAAATCCAATTAATTATATTAATTATATTTTAAAATCTTTCAATTTTCTAGTACTGATCGGATCGTAATTTCGTGAGAATGTATTGTTCTTATTGCAACATAATAAAATGCAAACATAATCGCGTGTGTAATATCGGGAGTGCCGTGCAAAATATACCTCGCGATTATCAAATTCTATTAACGCGCGTAATCGTAATTGACTATGTTTTTCGGAGTGTTTTTGTGTGTAAGTGCCATAACAAAAGAGAGAGACAGAGGACAAAGGACACGAAGGGAAGAAGGAGAACCAAGGACTTTGAGATGACATCGTGCATCGATGGAGCAGCTGGTAAGTACAATTGTAACCTATTTATGAAATTAATTATTTATTTATCTCTGTGGATCGCTCTAGAATTTATCGTCACATACATATAATTATTATCTAAATACACTCAGAAAATGAGACACAAATGATAATTTTCTCGAATAAATTCGCACACAATTTCTGCATTTCAAAACATATAAAATATGTAAATTTAAAAAAATCATGAGGTGATTTCTGAACTTTTATTGATATTCATCGATTTAGATTTTTATTCATCATATTTTATATATAAAATTTTATATATAAAACAGTGTACAAAAAATCATATTTAAATCAAATAACTATAAAACAATGTTCATAATAATTATATATATATATATATATATATATATATTTAAATGAAATAATTATTTATTATACATAATGAATTTATCGTGACATTCTTTAAAGAAAAATTTCATAAATTTAATAAAATAATAGTAATACATTTCTTGAAAATAATTTTTTGTATATAAACTTATAAGTTTATAATAGTAATACATTTAAACTTATAAGTTTATATACAAAAAATTATTTTCAAGAAATGTATTACTATTATTTTATTAAATTTATGAAATTTTTCTTTAAAGAATGTCACGATAAATTCATTATGTATAATAATTATTTCATTTAAATATTATTATGAACATTGTTTTATAATTATTTGATTTAAATATGATTTTTTGTACACTGTTTTATATATTTAATTTTAATCATTCAATTATATTTGTTTGGAGAAATGGTTGGCCAAAAACTCGAGCCGAAATAAACTTTATTTACAAGTTCGCAATAAAAGTGCACAATTAAAATAATTAAATTTAAAAAAACCTTGCTCGCGCTTTTTGTTTTATATGAAAATATTTTGTTAAAAAATTTCATTTTTTATTTTCTAAAAACAATTTGCTTAATTAATTATATTATTTTTTTATTTTTGATTTCGCACAATGTGAAATTGATTTCATAGATGAGCTATATAATAATTATTAAAGATAACACACGAACCACATACACATAATTTTGTTATGGCTTTATATACAAATATTTTGATCTGCTTAATAAAAACAAATTTTAAATTTTTAAAAATGTTCTATACCTTAACAAAGTAATAATAATTGTCAAACATTTTACAAAACATTACAATTATCAAAAAATCGTGAAAAAAAAAATTGATTACACGTTATTAAATAAGAGCATATTAAGAGATAAATAAAAAATTAATCCTACAAATAATTGGTAACTGATATATTGGCACATAAACGCGATACTTGCGATGTTGTTTTATAATCCGTCAGTTTTAACATTAAGAGGTTCGTTATTATTCCTAGTTATTAGTCATCGGAGCTGCGAAGTGCAGTCAAATTCATCATAAATTACAGTCAATGTGAATGATTATTTATAGCCGGCTCATGCATACGTATGATGTACATTTCATGATGCACATTTGCGATCCAGCTTCCGCGAATGACTCTCATAATCATAAAATTCTAATCAGGCAATTATTGACGCAATATTTTCATGCCAAATTACGTTAAACCTAAAGCACACTCGCGAACTCTTGCATCGTAAACCGAGTATAATCGTTAAATCGAAAACATATTTGCTTAGATTTTTTTCGTCTTGAATGCGCTTCTTTATGCCTAAGTTCGCTAAAAATAAATTCAAGATATTTAATCGTTGTAATATAATATCGGAACGCTTATAAATTCAGTTTTAATACGTGTAAAACGTAAATTTGCATAAAAAATCTGAAAAACGTGTAATTTTTAAATTAATTGTGTAAATATTGGTTTATTTAACTAATAAAACATTTTTTTAAATCGTACGGTAAATCAACATTAGGAAAATTTTCCACGTGAAATTAAATTCTCCCGCGAAACGGTGAACGATCTGGATCACCTGTAAAAAAAAAATGATTAACGGCGGAATCCGACAAGGTTGAAAAGAAAGGCAGCTTGTTTCGCGCGAGATAAGCGTTAGAGCGGCACGAAATAAACGCCTTTCCGTAGATGATAGCGATTTCGAGCGAACGAACTATCGCGAAGGGAGCATTAACGGGTGGAAAGCGTGGGAAGAAAAGCGGAAGGAGCGAGGCTGTGTGTGTATGTGCAGTAAAAGAGACATCAGGAACCTATTTCGAAGTGGCGCGGCACGATTTTCTACACTTACTCGTCCATCACGCTGATGAGTTCGCAGGCGGCACAATGCCTCGTAAGAACTCGACGAGATAAGACTGAAAAACCTTTGCGAGCAATCTCTAATCCGCGCGATAAATATTTCGTATGTATGTACGTGTTTTGCAGTGGACACGAGAGAAGAGATTCGCATGAGCGTACACATTAATCGTTGACTACACGTTACTTTACTCTTTGTTTCCTTACGTTTTATTTTATCCCATTTATCTCCCTCTCTTTGTCTCGTATATTGTTCTTCTCAAACTTTTTAACGTCCAGTCATTTTTAACGACAACTGAAAATTATGTTGGTCAAATATTTCGTTTCTTATATAATACAATTGTTTCAAATGTGTATGTTTCTTTTAAATAAAAATATACATCGGAAAATTTATGTTATTCAGAATAAAAAGAAAAAGAAAAATCAGTATATTGTCCCTCACATCGAGAATGAAATAAAGGAAGAACGAAATATTTACACGCGTCGATAATTTCGAATGTGTGTATATGTGTGTGAATCACGCTTTTTTTTTATTTTTATCGCACTATTATAGTTCTT